TGAATTCCGAGAGGTGGCCAGGAGTTAGGTCATGTAGGACTTTGTGGGCCACATGAAGACTGGCCTGATCCTGGCTGATGGGAAACCCTAAGATTTGGAGTAGAAGAGTGATACGACCTGACCTGAATTTTAGCAAGATCTCTGGCCTCTCTGTGGACCAGTTGCTGTGAAGTGGGGAAGGCTGGAGGAGGCAGACATCAGTTAGGAAGCTGTCAATATTTAATCTAGGTGAAAGATGACAATGACTTGGACCAAGATGGTGACACTAAATGAGGCAGAGAGAGATGAATTTCTAGACAGGTTTCTAAGTAGAGATGACATATGTAGCTGATAGCTTGAAGGAAAGTTGTGCGAAAGAGAGGAGTCACAAAACAGTCCAGGGTTTTGGTCTCAGCCACTAGAAAACTGGCTTTGCCATTTACTGATTTGGAGAAGACCATGGAAAGGAAGTTTGGGGGTGGGAATCATGAGTTTAATTTGGACATACTAAATTTGAGATGATGCCAATTATATCCAAGTGAAGCTGAGTAGGCAGAGTGTGTGTGTGTGTGTGTGTGTGTGTGTGTGTGTGTGTGTGTGTGTCATCAGCATTTGGGAGCATTTGGAACTGGGTGAAGTCACCAAGAGAAGGAATGTTAAGTAGATAAACAGTATGAGAAATGATCTGGGCTCCTAATCAAATAGCAGTCAGGAGAACCAGGGAATGAGCAGTCAATGAGATACGAGAATCAAGAGGGAGAGGCTTTCCAAAAGCTAAACTGTTAAAAAAGAAAAAAAGTTTCAAGAGGGAGTAACTGTCAAAGGTTTCAGATAAGGCAGTAAGACAAGATTTGAGAATTAACCATGGAGGTCATTGCATTCCTTAACAAGAACAGTTTCTATGGAGTAACAGAGATGAAAGCCTAAATTGGATTTATTCAAGAGAACACAGGAAGAGAGAAACTGGACACAGTGTGAACAGATAATTCTTTCAGGATTGGTAAAATAAAGGAGGACAAAGGGGCCTGCAGGGAGATGCAACGTCAAGGTTTTTCCTCTAAACCTGGGATATAAATATAAATATGTATGTTTATATGGCTGCTGGTGGTAATTCAGTAGTGAGTGAAAATTCAGAAGAAGGGGAATTGCTGGACCAATGAATGTCCTTCAGTAGGCAAGAAAAGATGAGATGTAATGTGCAGTGGAGAGGCCAATCCTGGAGAGGAATGCAGACAGACACTCCTTCATAGGAGTGCAGGGAAAGCAGAACTTGTGAGCACAGATGCAGGGAGTTGGGTAGCTGTGGTGTCTGGACATAGGGAAGTTCTCTTCTCATTGCTTCTGGTTTCTCAACGAAATAAGAAACTTAGTCATTATATGGGAGTGAGAAACCTGAGGAAGTGGAAATTTGAGGTTAGAGAGGAAGGTTTAACATAGTCCTCTAGGGAAATGGAAATCAGATGGATTAGGGCAATGTGGATGGATTGCCAGACCCCATTAGGAGTCCCTTTGAGGTTAGTGACCATAAATTTAAGGTGAAAATAGGCAGTGGGATTGTGTGCTTTTGTCCAGCCATGGTCAGCCACTCTGGTAGAGTTGCAGAGTGGGTAGAGAATTGGATTTAACCAGGATGGCGGCTTGGCCAGGTGAAAGCACTGAAGGGAGAGGCAGGAGAGCCGATTTTGCATGCACAGGGGTGAGTTCAATGGTGGCCCATGGGATTTAATCTGAGTAAGACAAATGACGACATGCTGGGATTTTAGTTTCTGATGCAGCTTAAGGATCTGTGAATTTAGGGTTTTGGAGGATATTGACAAGCCAAGAGGTGATCAGTTAGGGCGTAGAAAATCTTGAAATTGCAGTTCTGGAGTGGGTGCAGGTACTGATGATAGGGTCTAGAGCTGTGATTCTCAGCCGGTGCTATTTCACCTCTGAGGAGGCATTTGCAGTGTCTGGAGACATTTTTGGTTGTCACAGCTGGAGGCAGGGGAGATGCTGTTGTTAACTACCAGAGGCCAGGGGTGCTGCTCAACATCCTACAAGGCACAGTACAGTTTCCCACAACAAAGAATTATTTGTCCCAATTGTCAGAAGTGCTGAGGTTGAGAAGCCCTGGTTTAGGGTAGGATAACAGAAAAACTTCAGCCAAATTGAATTTGAAGGAGTTTAATTGAGCATTGAACGAATCGCGAATTGGGCAACCCTCTGAGCCAAGTTAGGCTCAGAGACGCCACATGGTAGAATATTTATGGGCAGAAAAAGAAGAATGACATACAGAAAACCAGAGTGAGGTACAGAAACAGCTGGATTGATTATAGCTTGGTGTTTGCCTTATTTGAGCACAGTTCGAACAGTTAGCTACATTTAATTGGCCAAAACTTGGTAATTGGCACAAGGTCATTGGCTACAGCCTGTTTATACCTACATTTGTTATAGTTCATAGTGTACAGAAAAACCCTTAGGCCGAACTTAAAATACATAAGGAGGCAGCTTTAGGCTAAACTTGATTGAAAAGGTATGGCCATAAGACATGAGTGGCTGGGGTAGGCCTGATCTTATGTAACCGGATTATAGGAGAAGATAAACGGACTAGGGTTTTAGAAAGTTTATCTTACGACTGGTGAAATCTCCAAAAATGATGACAAGAGTAGTATTAGAGGAAAGCCCAGGGATGAGAGGAAGTTCATTTCCCTGTGTATGGAGTCATTTTCTTTTTCTTGAGCTAGCTGATTGGCTAGCATTGGATTTCACAATCCTGGCTAAGGCTACATTTTCAAATTAGCCAATGAATGTTGTGTGTTTTTTTTAAAAAGCCGCCTGTTTATTAACCAGCTTTGGTGTAACAAAATCTGTCTTAAATAGATGCCTAAAAGCCATTTGGGAATTTGGTTAGTCTTTTTGCTCAAAATTCTGTGACTGTAAACTTGGATACTTGATCTAGTTCCATCTTTGTGTCCCAGGATGACAGTTCTTGCAACCAGGCCTTGAGGCAGGGATCTGGTTTAAGAAAATCCTTGAGAAACCTTAATTATAGACTTTAGAGACCGTAGCTTTCCAGTGCTTACCACCATGGAGAAAACTAGTCAAAATCACACAGAGTGAATAAGGGTTGCAAGCCAGTGCTGCTTCCTGGAATAAGCTGCTCCACTAGTCTAGTCTTGTGCTTTGTCCTTCATTTTGAACTCAAGTGCCCTGAGGCTGCTTTTCTGCCTACCCACAATAGCAAGGAACTCTTTTGTTTGCATCTCCTCTGAAAGAAATGCTTGTTTTGAGGTTTGGACCACAAATAATAATCTATTGTTCCCTGTAATAATAATCCACCCTCTTTAGCAGAAAAAAAATTTGTTTGATGCAGTATGGCTATCAGTTTATTTAAAAGAATAGCCAAAAATGCCCATTGTGTTCTGAGAATAAACATTTGCAAGATGGTTGGGAGGAATGGGGGAGTATTCTTTCTCTCCTTGGCTGAGAGTCAGTTAAGTCCTCAAGGAGAAAAAATTCTGTAAATGACCGTCAGTCCTGGCTGACAATACTCTTCCTTATTCTACCCATCTGTTGCATTCTGAGAATAATTGCAACACTGCAGATATTTATTTCTTGCAGAAATAGATGCAAACTATTTCTTTTAAAAATATCGAAGGTGGGTATTCTTAAAAATTTTAGGCCAAATAAGCTTTTTTTTTTTTCTGACTTTTATTTTGTCTGTGAAAGCATTTCTTTTATAGCAGTAAAAGTATGTTCAAATTAGCAATCTTTAACAATTTAGCAAATATTTTTAGTAGTAGTCCTTAACAGTTCTTGCAGCTGCCTATGATTGCAGATCTTGAAAAAAAAAAGCCATTTTTATATTCCAAGTGGTAGACACATTTTAATTACTGTTTCCTGGGCTTAGGCTAACTGACAAAACTTGATGGGTGAAGTGACAATGTGATATACAGTACAATCAGCTGTTTCTTAAGTACATACTTACCTGGCACACTGAAATCTTATGGTAGGTATGATTTCACTAACAAAACCAAAATATGCATTTTCTACCTTAAGTTCTTTATAGGAAAAAGATCGGTTAAATAATAAACATGGCTTTAAAATGAAGTTATAGCTTAGGATAGTTTTAATTGCTTTACATGTGGATGAGAAAAGTTCAGTGTGATAACAATTGCAGCATAACAGATGAGCATGAGAACAACTTAAAGACGTAAAAATACGTCTATTACGTCATTAAAAATAGATCATCAGGGAAGCCACCAAGAAGTCCTTCAGTAGGTGAATGAATAAAGTGTCGTAAATCCATACAATTGTATGTTATTCAGCAATAAAAAGAAAGGAGATACCATGTCACAAAAACACATGGAAGAAACTTAAATGCATATTACTAAGTGGAAGAAGCCAACCTGAAAAGGCTACATGCTGTCTGATTTTAACTAGGTAACATTTGAGAAAAGGCAAACCTATAGAGACAGTGTAAGGCCAGTGTTTGCCAGGGGTGTAGGGGAAAGGAGGGCAGGAATAAATTGGTGTAGCACAGGAGACGCTTAGGAAGTGAAACTATTCTGTATGATTCTGTAAAGGTGGAGATGTCACTATACACCTTTGTCAAAATCCATGGATCTACAATGCTAACACGAACCCTAATGTAAACTATGGACATGCCAGATGTTAATAATAAGAGAAACAGGGTGGCTGGGAGGAGTGAGGGGATATGAGAATTTTACTTTCCATTCAATGTTTCTGTAAACCTAAAACTGCTCTTTTTAAAAGTCTATTAATTTAAAAAAATATATTCAATATAGCCAAACTAGTAAAAATGTCTTAACTAAAAAGCAATACAAACTTAAACTATCAGCAATTGTTCTGTTTATAGGAAATACTTAGCTATAGAATATTCTGCCAGAAATATATAATGGCAGTGAATTACTGTATGTATCTAGGAACTTTCCTGTATCTTTTCTTGCCTGGCAAAAATGCGCAGTGCTATTCATGCTAAGTCCTACTTTTAACTACCCTTATTCCTTTCTCTTCAGTGATGGCTGGAGTATCAGGCTTGGAAGTATATACACCAAAAGAACTCTTCGTGGCAAATGGTACACAAGGGAAACTGACCTGCAAGTTCAAGTCTACTGATACGACTGGCAGGTTGACCTCAGTCTCCTGGAGCTTCCAGCCAGAGGGGGCTGACACTGCCGTGTCGGTAAGAATGCTTAACTGCTCTTGGCTGGTCCTACCTCACAGGTTTCTTTACTGCTGTATAATTAGTGATCCATTCTTCCGATTGCTCATTTCCAAAATGAATGTATTTGTTATCTATTACAGACTTCAAGGCTCTTCTCTTGCTTCAAACTTTCCAGGATAAAATAAATTCTGCATCTCTTAAATGCAGCTGGTTTCCTTGTCTTTGCATGCGATTCTCCCCTTGCCATCCCCTCAGTTCGTCTCCACCATCAAATCCCATTCTGAAACTGATCTTAATTTACCACAGTGACTCATATCAGGATTTATCCTGCATCTTTTTATATTTCATTGCCCCATTTGTATTGGTATTTATTTTATGTATTCCCAAATTATATATACATACACCTTATATGTGCCCTCTGATTTGATTTTTTTTTAATTTAACATATAGTCCTTCTGATTTAGCATTATTGATTGGGATCTTACTATGTAGTAGGTTATGTAGGGCCTTCAAAAATGTCTAAAACAGAATCCTTGCTCTCACCCAGAGATGATTAAGAGGAAGGCTGATATATAGATGACTTTGGAGTAAGATGAAGGATGTAACAGAAATATAGCACCAGAGGGTTGAGAAAAAGGTTAGTTAGTAACTAGTGGAGTGCTGGTTATGCAGTGGGTGTTTATTAAACATGAACTGACTATACTGGTTCTTGTCTGTAAAATGGAGATGATAAAACCTCGCACACAGCAGTGTTAGGATAAAGTGAGATTATACAAGATAAGTTCTCAGGAGAGGGTCTAGCTCTTGAGTTACTAATCTACTAATTTGTTGTTACTGTTGCTCTCCCAGCATCTTGAATGCTCTTCAAACATTGGCACATATTTTAGCACTGTTGCTGCACATTTCAGGTTGTCAGTACTTGGCAAGGACAGTCTGTCATCTATCTTTAAGAATACTGAACTCTTCTTCTGAATAGTTAGTTACATTTGTTGATCACCACGTAGGTGCTGGGTCCATCATATGCCTGTGCCATTTAATCTTCACAACTCTATGAGGAAGATGGGGTGGGGAAGGTCAGACACTGACTCGAGAGTTACTCACCCATGGCCACATCACACAGGTTAGATTTGTTTAAACTTCAATACAGTATGATTTCCTTTACATATTATTTCTCAGGTAGAAAAATATGCTAATAATATTTACTGCCTCATAGGTTTTAGGGATTACCTAGGGCAGTACTTCTCAGTGCTTTTTACAATTTATTTTTAAAAGGAGCCTTTTGACATTTTTTCTTAATCTTTGCCCCCTTCCATGAAATTTTATTGTTGTAGATACCCTCTGTATCTGTTTTACATATAAAAGAGTATGATTTTCTCAAACCTTTTCACCGAAGCGCCAGTGTTTGCCCCCTTGGGGGAGAATCTCCCCTATGGAGAATGCATAGTCTAGAGGTCTTTTTTTCTTTTTCTTGAGATGGTGTCTTGCTCTGTCACCCAGACTGGAGTGTGGTGGCACAATCTTGGCTCTCTGCAACCTCTGCCTCCTGGGTTCAAGTGATTCTCCTGCTTCAGCCTCCCAAGGAGCTAGGACCACTGGCATGTGCCACAACACCTGGCTAATTTTTTGTATTTTTAGTAGAGATGGGGTTTCACTGTGTCACCCAGGATGGTCTAGATCTCCTGACCTTGTGATCTGCTCCCCTCGGCCTCCGAAAGTGCTGTTATTACAGGTGTGAGCCACCACCCCCAGCTGTCTAGAGGTCTTTATATGAGAGGCCCTCCCTTCCAGTAGCCATAAGGGTGAGCACAGAATCCGTACCATGGAAGACATGCAAAGGCATTCTCCTGCTTCACATAAATATGGCATCAGCATAGAACATACACTAATGTTCCCATAGAGGCAAGATTAAACACATAAGTTTACTCAAGAGAGTCCAAAGAACTATTTTTTTTATTTTTTTGAGACAGAGTTTTGCTCTTGTTACCCAGGCTAGAGTGCAATGGCGCGGTCTCGGCTCACCGCAACCTCCGCCTCCTGGGTTCAGGCAATTCTCCTGCCTCAGCCTCCCCAGCAGCTGGGATTACAGGCACGTGCCACCATGCCCAGCTAATTTTTTGTATTTTTAGTAGAGATGGGGTTTCACCATGGTGACCAGGATGGTCTCGATCTCTTGACCTCGTGATCCACCCTCCTCGGCCTCCCAAAGTGCTGGGATTACAGGCGTGAGCCACCGCGCCCGGCCCCCAGAGAACTATTTAAACTTGAAAAGATTTCCCACTGAAGTCTTCTGCAAGAGTGGGTGTGAGGGCCATTATTGAAGTCCATAGAAAATCAGGCAATCATCAGGCAGACACCCAAAGGTGATAACCTTCTTTTAAAGAACGGTTCCATTATGCTGGAAACATTCTTGTGATGTGGGTCCATGGATGTTTACATAACTCAAGACTTAATATTAAAAACATGCTGCCGGGTGCGGTGGCTCACGCCTGTAATCCCAGCACTTTGGGAGGCCGAGGTGGGTGGATCACGAGGTCAAGAGATCGAGACCATCCTGGTCAACATGGTGAAACCCCGTCTCTACTAAAAAATGCAAAAAATTAGCTGGGCATGGTGGCGTGTGTCTATAATCCCAGGTACTCAGGAGGCTGAGGCAGGAGAATTGCCTGAACCCAGGAGGTGGAGGTTGCGGTGAGCCGAGATTGCGCCATTGCACTCCAGCCTGGGTAACGAGCGAAACGCCATCTCAAAAAAGAAAAAAAAAAAGAACATGCTGTATTTCTGATTAATATTTTTAGCTAATAAATTTATGCTTACGAGTCCGATTACAGTTAATCCCAGCATGTTCAGTTATTGACATAGGATCTTTTAATTTCAAAATATTGGGGACACATTTAATGAGATGAGCGGGTTGCTTTTTGTTTTCATAGATTTTACAGGAAAAGTATATTCAAACCCACTATATTCAAAAGCCATAATATAGTTGGCTTTTCTGGCCCATGGCCTTGGGATCCATGTGTCTGAAACTGAACTCATTTTTTCTCCCCTCTGTTTCTCTTTTCTGCTTATTTTTTTAGGGTAGTTGTGTTCTTCTAGAGATTAGTTTTGTGATCATTTTTGTTTTGTTTTGTGTTTTCTGGCCTTTCCTTCCCTATCCCTTACCACATCCCTTCTGTCCCCAAGAATTAAGAACCTTGCTGGTTCTTCCTACATTGGTTCTGGTGTCTAGCTTTTTGTCAGCCTTCCTGCGTCTCTGCTCTCTATTCAGCAATGTTAACTGTGTGTCTGGTCTTGTGCAGTAGCCCCTTGTTGTTCTTCTGCTTCTGTTTTTTCATCTTTCAATCCAACCCTTATATGCCAGCAGGTGCGTAGTCTTAGAACAGTTTCACCTTGCTGCTGCAGGTTGTCAGAAACCTAGATCCCTGCTGCTGACAACACTTGTCTAGAATTAAAAGCTCATTACACTTTGGCTCAGCCTGTCACTTTAGCCTCGCTTCTGTTCTCTTATAGAATCATTTCCAGTGTAGTAAAAATGCTTTGCGCTTTGTTTTTCTACTTCTGAACACTTGCCATTTAAGCTGTACCCCATCTTTACCTTCTTACTCCTCCATAAGGTCTCCTTTTTTTTTAATTAAAAAAAAAAAAAAACGTTTTAGCCCTTAAAACTCACTACCCTTATCTGGGCCACTCATATAATACAGATCCCTTAATATGACAATTTTCCTCTTCTTCATCCTGAATATAGGTGTTTTCAGAGGACATGCCTGTCTCACATCATTAGTGTTCCTTACAGCTTTAGCACCAGGGCTTGTACTTTAAAAATATTAATTGATAATGATTTCTAGTCTTTTCCGTGAATTTTTCACTATTTTATTTTCATCTCTCACTGGTTTGACCAAGGCATTATTCCTCAGTTTGGTTCAGCAAACTATGTAGTTCCTGCTATGTGCTAAATGCTAAGGAGAGATACATACAACTTATCCCCTGCCTTCAAACGGCCCCCAGTCAATGAGGGAGCCGTCTTGGACCAAGTGGTGGGAAACAGCATCACGTAGCTCATCCCCTCTGCTTCAGAAATGCAGGGCAGGGAATGTGTGGAGATGTGGGATGGGAAGGCAGAGACCAGATGATAGAAGGATTTGTTTGCAAAACTGAAAGTTTATGGTTCATTTTCTGGTGAAGAAGAAAGAGTGAAGGACTTAGAACAGATAAGACATGATCTCACATGAGAGACATTAAACATGGGAAATAGTATAAGCGTTGAAATCAAAGCTGGATTTGAAGTCCATCTCTAAACCTGTGACTTTTGGAAAGTCACCAAGGCTTCCTGAGCCTTGTGTTTCCTATTTGTGAAATATCAGGTAGGTGAATCTCACCTTGCAGGGTGGTTATGAGGGTTAGAGAGTTGTTGAGAGACAGTTTTCCATGGGTTTTTCATGTTTTTGCACACCTTGCTAGCAAAGGCACTGGCTGCCTTTGTTCTGGACTTTTTTCGAGCAGTAACTAGCCTTGGAAGACAGAGATGATGTTTCCCTTTGGAGCAGAGGACAGATTTTTTTACTCTTTAGTATATAAAGATAGCGTCTCCCTTCAGGGCTAAAGTCAGACATGTTTTCTGCCCCTTGTAAGAGACTTGTGTTCCCTGAACTTGGGATTCCTCAGCTGTGATGCAGTGCCCCTGCTTGTACAACATCCATGTGAGCCCCTCCCTGTCATCACTGTGGGACTTGAGGGGTAAGGGGAACAAACACGTTTGTTTATGAGTCTTCTTAATGGGAGTGAAGATTTCACAGGAGTCCGTGTCTTCTGTCAGCATCTATGAACCCGTGGCCAACTAACTTTGTTACCTTGCAAGTAGGGTAAAATCTCAGACCCTTCATGGTTCTTAACAAGTATTTAAGTCATATGAAATACAGGGCAAGTATTTTTATAAATGTTAATAATGATAACAATTATTGTTTATCAATGATCATTTAGGCATTGTGGAGGATGATGAGTTAGCCATACCAGTTAAGAGGCCATAGTCCAAGATGATGAAAGCGTAAAAGCAGATATTGTCAGAGGGAACTGAATAGAGAGAAGAGAGAACTAAGAGAAACTAATGAGACAGATTGACAATATTGGGGGATTAACTGGATGGGAAGAAAGAGAATGAAGGATTACTCCAAGATTTATGGTATAGGAAAGAAACAGTAGCCATCAGTGAAGACAGGATACATGAAGACAGGAAGATGAAGTTTGTAGGAAAAGGTGACAAGTTTGGGGGAGAAGGGCAGCCAGGTGGTAAAGTGAGTAGGCAATTGGGCAAGGAGTCTAGAGCTTAAGGAATGTGATCAATGGAGAGAGAGATTTAGGAGTAAGAAAATCTAGATGATCATTAAATCATGGGAATGGATGAGCCTGCACTGGGGTTTTCAGCATGCTCAAAGGGTTCTGAAAATATTCTGTAGGAATTGCTAATGAAACTGGTTTCTACCCTCAGCCCCACCATCACCCCTTCCAGAACCAGAACAAACACATCAGGCCTCCAGGATAGCTGCTTGGATTAGAGCTGAGTGTGAGGATAGATCCCCTCCCACTGGGCCTTAACTTGCTTCCAGGGTGCTGAGTTTGACAAGGTGTACTTTGAGAAAACAGTTCCTTTGCTGAAAGCAGGACTGAGGAGAAAGTGAGGAGTGGAAAGAGAAAGAGTCCAAAGGCTGAACTTTCAAAAGCCGGAAAGAGTATCTTGTGTTATCTGGGTTTTGTTCCTTTCACACACCCATGACCTTTCCATAGCAAACCGGAAGGAAGAGGGAGAAACCCACAGATTAACTGATCTGTGGTATGTAAGATTCTTTTCCTTTGTGCCTCTGTGTATCTTAGTGGTAAGCTAAGTGAACACTAAGCTTTCTGAAGCCTTGGGAATCACTGGGCTCAATCATGGTGTTATTGGAAGAGCATTGGCTTTGAAGACTCAGATGGGTCTAAATTTTACTCTGGGTCCCCAGCTTACTATCATTGGGACCTTGGGAAAATGACTTCTCTATGTCTCCATTTTGTCTTTTATAAAATTATGGGTGATAATAATTATATCAGTAAAATATTGAGAGGATTAGTGGTGGTATATGCGTCTGATTCTTCCATTAAAACCTGGCAGAGTTGAGCCCCATGATCTCTAAACTTCTTTCTGGCTTGGATTCCATAACTTGTGATTTGTAATGTGCTGTTACATTTCTTTCAGTACGAAGTCTTTAAAAGAACCTTTCATAGCATGCACATTACAGAGTTTAGGAATTCTGCCTTTGAGAATAGTTCATTTGTTCCTTTTTTCTAATTGCAGTTTTTCCACTACTCCCAAGGGAACGCGTACCCTGGGAATTATCCACCATTTAAAGACAGAACCAACTGGGCTGGAGACCTTGACAAGAAAGATGCCTCAATCTACATAGAAAATATGCAGTTTATACACAATGGCACCTATATCTGTGATGTCAAAAACCCTCCTGACATCGTTGCCCAGCCTGGACACATTAGGCTCTATGTCATAGAAAAAGGTACTTCCGTGGGTATTTTGGCAGTAATAATGGAGTCTCCTTTATCTCATGTTCGGTTGGAGGACAAGAGTGTCATTTCAAGGTGGGTTTGGAGGGAGGATTTTTGCGATACAGTTGTGCTCTCTGTTGCCATGAACCTGTGGCTCTACCAAACAGAGTTGGGGAGCTGTTGCTCATTCTGACCTAGAGTAGTGGGTTTCTCCATTTTTATTCCTACTGTCTGGAGCCGTTGGTCTAATTTCAGGAGTATTAATTTTTCAGTTTTAATTAGAAGAAAGACCAAATTCATTATGTTTGGATGTGATGGGCAGTGGAAAGAAGGAGATTAATACTGTTTTATATTCTCCAGGAGAAAGATGACATTTTCAACAACAGCACAGTTTTTTATTCTTTTTGATTTTGAGAAAGAACAGGAAATGCAGGTTCTGGTGTCTCATTTTTGAGACAAAGCCTGCTTTGTTGGAGAGTAGATCGAGGTAAATTCACACCTCCAGTTTTTCTTTAGAGCACTTTAGAGGGATTGTGGGTATAGAAATGCTTAGTTCCATATTTCATTCTTTCTCATCTAATATTCGTGTGTCATGAATTAGTAATAGGATAGATAGTAGGATCTCATAATTTGGATAATAAAAGAGGGCATGGTAACTGCTAAAGGAAGATACTTGCTTGTTAATTTAATAAAAATCCATGTTTCTGTCTGTAGCAATGTACCTTAAAACCATTTTGTTCTTTCTCTCTAGAGAGTTTGCCTGTGTTTCCAGTTTGGGTAGTGGTGGGCATAGTTACTGCTGTGGTCGTAGGTCTCATTCTGCTCATCAGCATGATTCTGGCTGTCCTCTATAGAAGGAAAAACTCTAAACGGGATTACACTGGGTAAGAAACACTGTTTTTTAGGGCAGGGGTAGAGGGAGGGAATCAGGGTTTATAAAAACTTGTATTTAATGAAAAAAGGATTTTGAAGAATTAACTACTGTTTTCTTTCATGTCAGAATCAGGCAGTCTTCTTAAGAGGTGTTCTAACATGGGCAAGCAGAAATCAGTGGGCCTGCTATTAAATGTGGAATATGATTCTAATCTCTATTCCGGTTTCGTTCTTAGGTTTGGTGAGATGAGTTGCTCAGCAGTCTGTGCTCTGTATTTCAGTACTATCCACTATGCAATTAATATTCTTAAGACATCACTTACCTAATTTAAGAATTTAATTTCAATTTCTTGGTAATAAACTCAAAAGGTGGTTCTTTCCAGTTGGGTAAATATTAAACCATAATTAAGAAGTTGTGAGCTGGAGGTAGTGGCATGCACCTGTAGTCCCAGCTACTCAGGCTGAGGCAGAAGGATTGCTTGAGCACAGGAATTTGAATCCAGCCTAGGCAACATAGCAAGACCCTGTCTCTTAAAAAAAAAAAGAAGAAGAAGATGAAGAGAAAGAAAGAGAGAAGAAAAAGAAGTGGTTTTGGTAAACTACCTCCCGCAGCCCAATGTGATGATAATGCAGGGCTTTTCCTTTTTGTAATTCCCCTACCCAACTCCAAGCTTAAGTAGCTTTATTGCTTTGATCATTCTTAGCTAGATTCACCCAAAATGGGTTAATAAGAGTTGATAACAAAATATATCAGCAATAAAGAAACACAGACTTCCTTTTAGTTTATGGCTTCTCAAAAGGAACAGGTTTGAGCATAGGGTGTGTGTCTAATTAAAGGACCTTCTCTTTTCTCCACTCCAGCTGGAAAGCTAACCCATATAAGCTATGTAGAACTCACGTGGTAAGACTGGGAGCGAAGGCTGGATTCAAGTTGATGTAGCATGAGCAGTGTTGCAGATACACAGATCTAACTTTAACCATCCTGAAGGGACTGTGACGTGAAAGGATTGCATGCCCTGAACTCTTTCGCTGGTGGATGGTGGAAACCTCTATCTATGGGCTTTTCTGATCTAGAGTTTTTAGGAGTGCTGTGTTTTAACAAGTTTGAGTGTTCAAATTCAGATATTACTTGCTTGGAATGCTTCTGTTCTGCTGACTATATCTGCCCCCTTGCATGGTGAGTGTTTTATGATTAAATATAGCTGGACTGTTGGTTTTGGTTTTCAACATGAGACTAATCCAGGGTGGTGACATGCCGGTGTTTGTAGTTCTTGCTTTGGGGTTAATGAGGCGCAGGAAAGAGTTCCTTAGACTCCTGCATGGCATCATGAATGCTGCTGTTCTTACTTTGGTTTTTTTCCTCCTTCCCTACCTTTTCTACCTTGGTGTGCTGGGATCAGATCCTGCTTATCTTCCACTTCTTAAGAAAAGCTGACGTAGAAGACACATTGGGACTATAACAGGGCTGGGTCTCCTCTTCCACTCCCACTAGACACATGGTAACTAATCACATTGCCCGTCGCCGTTAATATTCCTCTGTACGTATTCAGTCCCTCTCCCTTGTTGATGACTAACCAGCTAGCTCTGAGCTAACCCAACAGCTGTTATGATTTGTCCATGAATATGTCACATGTTTGTACTGGAAACATGTCGAGCATACCTCCCGGATGAAATGGGGTTGTCAAGTTACATAGAGGTTTTATGCACATCTGAATATATGTGCTCTTTGTGTAAAATGCCATTGTGTATGTGTGTGTGTGTGTGTGTGTGTGTGTGTGTGCATTAGTTTTCTTTTTTCATACATGTGTTGTGTTATCAATAATTAAGATCCTGACTGATTATGTGTTAGAATAATTAAGCCATTTTGGTTCAGAGCATATAGCCTCCCATTTCAGAGAAGGAACAGTTTGCAGAATGCATGGTATGCTTTGGTCTTAGTAATGACTCTTTAAATGTGATTCTCCCCAAACTCCTAAGTTTTAAAAAGTATATATCATAAGACTTTAAGCTGTACTGATGACACATCTCATGGAGAAATCCTTATACTGTACCTCAGCTTGCTTACTTCCTGGCATTCACTTTCCCTGATTTGTTTATGAGATAGTGCTTATTGTTAAAGACTCCTGTCCCCCTGAAAAGGCTCAGCCTGTGTGACCTGGGATTCCTTAGTGTCTCATTCATGACTTCCTGTGTTTTTGAGGGGATTTGATTGTGGTATTGGTAGGGAATAAAAATATGAAGGGAACAAGATAAATCAAGATTTGCCCGGATATATATCTGTAATTGAAAACATACATTCAGAAGAAGTTTGCCTTTGATTATCACAAAAGTAAATTGCCATTAAGCTATTAAAAGGTACCATAGAGCTTGTTCCCTTAAACCTTTATCCTAAAGGAGTGTTGATGACAGGGGGAAAAGACAAACAGCAAAAGGATAAATGTGTATTGTAACCAGAATCTCAATATGATTTTTGTAAACTGGGTTGAAGAGGTTGTACCACATTTGTTTCTGTGCCTCCCCAGTGATGAGTTCATTGACTTAGAAGAATGAGTGAGCATCAGGGATAGAAAATAGTTTAAAAATATGTGATTGTTTTGATACCCATTGTTTTGTTGTCTTTTGTTTTTATACATCTGTTGCTTCATCTTGGTGTCATTTGCATTTCTATATTTTTGTTTCTATTTATTTTATTTTTTAATATGTTTTTCAAATTGCCAATTTATCAGCTGCAGTACATCAGAGAGTTTGTCACCAGTTAAGCAGGCTCCTCGGAAGTCCCCCTCCGACACTGAGGGTCTTGTAAAGAGTCTGCCTTCTGGATCTCACCAGGTAATGGCTGATTGCAATTCTGCCACTGCACTGTTCCCTACAGCTTTGTGCTCTGTCACTTCCCTGGGTGTGGAAAAGAATATTGAGCTATGAGAGAGAGACAGAGACAGACAGACAGGCAGAGACAGAGAGAAAGAGAAAGGGTGGGAGTAAGGAATTAAAGGTCTGGTCTAGGAAGTCCTTAGGAAAATATGTGGTGAAGAATCTGCTTGAGGAAAGATTTCCATGAAACCACCAATCGTTTACTAACAATGTGGCTTCTTTGCCCCAAGCAGAATTAGGAAATGGCTTTGTCAATAAAAGATTCTTCTTTAATTGCCCAAGGAAATGAATCTAGTGAACGAGATTCTTTCTGTATTGAGGTACTCTGTGAGCTAAGAAATTAGCAGGGAAAAGTTGATATTCTTAGTATGGATAATAAAACAAGAATTATTTTCTATGGATTCTTTAGAAAAAAAATGGAAAGTAAGTATTTATCTTGATGAATAAGGAATGGTTTTGCTGTCTACTTGTAGAAAGTACAGAAGAGAAACAAGTTTTATTTGGAAGTTAGCATATAATCTAGCTTTGTGTGTTTTGGCTATACTATTTTAATTATAACTGTGGCATGGCAAAAATTCCACCGCTTAGTTCAGTTTGATTCTTCTGGGGTAGAAAGCATGCTAAAGAATTTGACCAGTTATAGCTTTGTCCTAAAAAAGGGTTAGCTGGTGGGAATGGATTTCAGAGGAAATAAAGAGAGTAACATTGTTTTGTGGGAAAGGTACCTATAGTCTTATTCCGTAGTTGTTATATGTAGTGGGGAAACTACATTTTGATGTTAAATTACTAAAAGCACATACCCAGTTAGTGACAGAACTGGGGCTAGAACCCGGGTGTCTTGATAGCATGTTCTGTACCACAGCATCAGGCTCATTACTTGTTCCTATTCTGTCTGTCTGTCTCTCTCTCAGATTACGTAATATACATCAGATACCTCAGTCTACTAATTTGGGTTGTGAATGGGAATAGGTAGGATTGTGAATGAAGACATGAAAGTTACACATAGGCATAGCATCTAAACAAGCCTTGGAACATTTTTCTAATACCCTTGAAGCACTATGGAAGTTGCTTTTTTGCTGAAAACAAACTAGAAAAAAAGAAACTGGTTTTCAAGATAGTGGAAGACAGATGATGCAACACTATGATCCCTGAGAGAAAGGAAACAGTCAATGTGAGCCGTATTATTGCCCCAGTATACTGGCTTGAAGCAGTTTCCACACTGCAGTGTACGTAGGGAACATGGAAATTGAGCCCAGCTGTCTCACTGAATTGAGGAGGCAGAAATCAGAATTTGGGGAGGTTAAGGGGGCTAGGATTTATGAGGCTGAGTACCAAAGAAGAAACAATAAAGTGTGCTAGGGTGAGCACCAGCACTTCAGAAATCTGGAACAGGGTCCCCTTGAATCTTTGTTGGATTACAGAGTTGTATACACATAGGAGAAAACTCGCTGAAACCAAGGGAAGAACTACCTGAAATGTGGTAGGTTGTATAATGCCTGGAGCTCACACAGATCTGGGACTAGTTTGTGTTCCTAAGAGCCAGTGTAGAGAGACTTATAATATACAAGGTATTGGTTGGCGTTCTCAAAATGGTCATACCTAAATAGGCTAAATTAGCACCAGAATAAAGGATGCTATGGACCCACCATAACAAAGCTTAAAAGGAAGGCTTTAAAGAATCAAACTAATCCAAAAGTAACTTAGTTGCATTTTACAGCAAAATCCAGCACTCTTTATACTGCAACAAAATTCGACACCAAACAATGTAAAATGTACAATGTCTGGCACCAGTCAAAAACTACGTGTCATTAAAAGAAACCGAAAAATAAAACATGTAAGCCAGATAGTAGTGGTATGTACCTGTAGTCCCAACTGCTAGAGAGCCTAAAGTGGAAAGATTGCTTGAGCCCAAGAGTGTAAGACCAGCCTGGGCAAATATAGCGAGAACCTATGTCAAATAAATGGAAAGAAAGAAGGAATAAAAGAAGGAAGGAAGGGGGAGGGGGAGGGAGGGAGGAAATAATAAGTAAATAAAAATAATTAAAAAATAAAAAAATCAGGAGAAATCAATCAGTAGAAACAAATCCAGAACTGACAGATGATGTGATTCGTAAACAAAGACCTTAAAATGAGTATTATATATCTTATTAGTAAACTTAAAGATGTAAAGGAAAGCTTGAACATTAAGAGGAAAGAAATACGTATCTAAAACAGACCAAAATGGAACTTCTGGACATGAAGAGCAATTGGATGGTATTAACAACAGATTAGACACTGCAAAAGAAAAGGTCAATTAACTTGAAGACATAGCAATAGAAACTATCCAAAATGAAGCACAAAGAGAAAGACAGACAGACGGTGGGGTGAAAGTGAACAGACCTTCAGTGAGCCACTGGATAATATATCAAGCAATCTAATTAGAGTCTGAGAAGAAAAAGGGAAAGAAAAAAATATATAAAGAAATACTGAAAATTTTTATAAATTTAATGAAAAACATAAACACACAGACTTGAAAATTACTGGGCACAGTGATGCACACTTGTAATTCTAGCACTTTGGGAGGCCGAGGCGGGTGGATCACCTGAGATCAGGAGTTCGAACCCAGCCTGGCCAACATGGCAAGACCCCCATCTCTACCAAAAATACAAAAATTAGCTGGGCATGGTGTTGGGCACCTGTAATCCTAGCTACTTGGGAGGCTGAGGCAGCAGAATTGCTTGAACCTGGGGTGCGGAGGTTGCAGTGAGCCAAGATTGCACCACTTCACTCCAGCCTGGGCGAATGAGCAAGATTCCATCTAAAAAAAAAAAAAAAAAAACAACAAAAAAGAGTGAATGAATAGCAAATGTTTTTTATAAATTTAATGAAAAACATAAACCCCCAAATCCAAGAAGTTCAACAAACTCTAAGTAGAAGAAACAGAGAAAACCACACTAAGGCACATTGTAATTAAATTGCTAAAGACCACTGATAAAGAGAAAATTGTAAATGTTGTCAGGAAAAGAAAACCCCAGAAGGCATAGAGGAGCAAAGGTAGGAATTGTTAAAAAAAAGTTCACTTTGGGCCGGGCGCGGTGGCTCAAGCCTGTAATCCCAGCACTTGGGGAGGCCGAGGCGGGTGGATCACGAGGTCAAGAGATCGAGACCATCCTGGTCAACATGGTGAAACCCTGTCTCTACTAAAAATACAAAAAATTAGCTGGGCATGGTGGCGCGTGCCTGTATTCCCAGCGAGTCAGGAGGCTGAGGCAGGAGAATTGCCTGAACCCGGGAGGCGGAGGTTGCGGTGAGCCGAGATCGCGCCATTGCACTCCAGCCTTGGTAACAAGAGCGAAACTCCGTCTCAAAAAAAAAAAAAGTTCACTTTGAATGAAGAGATGTTCCAAACAGGCTTTGTGTGAGCAGCATAGCTGTTTATTCACCTGGGTGCAGGTGGGCTAAGGCCGAAAAGGGCATTAGCAAAGGGCAGTAGGATAGGAGTTGGTTTTATAGGTTTGGGTAGTTTTTTGGGGCGTGGGGGTGTTGCAGAGTAAGTTTAGTTACAGAGGTGGGGGGGTAGGGGCAAGGAGTATACAAGTCCAGTTACAACGGCAGGTATTTACATTATCATAAGAACAGTTAAGATGGCAGGATTGGGTGAGAGGTATTTACATTTTCATAAGAACAGTTAAGATGGCAGGGTTGGGTGAAGGGCTTGTGGGAAGCTCCACTGGGTGATTAGGGACAATGGCGACGCAGGCAGGGGGTGGAAGACTTCAGCAGAGGCAAGCAGGACATAACTTTCAGGCTCCAGGCTTGCATATGGAGACCTAACAGGAGTGACGTCAGACTTCTCATCAGAAACCATGAGGCTAGTGATGATGGAGCCAGCAGTTTTAAACTGCTGAAGAAAAAAATGATCAACTTAGAATTTTTTGTCTATCAAAAATATCTTTTAAATGTAAATATTTTTTGTTTGTTTTGACATTTCTGTTCTCCTATTTTCTTCTTTTTTTTTAAATATATATATATTTATATATATATATATATTTTTTTTTAAGATGGGGTATCTCCATGATGGCGAGGCTGGTCTTGAACTCCTGACCTCAGGTGATCCACCCACCTTGGCCTGCCAAAGTGCTAGGATTACAGGGGTGAGCCACCGCGCCCAGCCTTCTTCTTTTTTTTAAATACAAATATTTTTAAAGAGCTGAATTTATCACCAGCAGACATGCTGTGTCAAATGTCAGAGTTTTTCAAGCAGAAGGAAAGTGACACCAGACAGAAATTTAGATCTATACAGGAGAATGAAGAGCACTGAAAATGGCAAATAAGTGAAAAATATGAAATATTTCTTTTTATTAAAAAAAAAATACCTTTGGCCAGGTTCAGTGGCTCACGCCTGTAATCCCAGCACCTTGGGAGGCTGAGGCAGGCAGATCACTTGAGGTCAGGAGTTCAAGACCAGCATGGCCAACATGACAAAACCCTGTCTCTACCAAAAATACAAAAATTAGCCGGGTGTGGTGGCAAGTGCCTGTAATCCCAGCTACTCAGGAGGCTGAGGCACGAGAATTGCCCCAGTCCCTGTATGAGGAGGGAGTGAGAAAAGAAGACAAAGACAAGAGCAGAATTTCACAGTATGGGCCCAGGGGCACTCTAGCTTGGGGTGAACTTGGCGCTGAGCTCTGGGCTCCACACGCTTTTATTAGGTGCATTATGTTGTTAATCTTGGCAAATGTGGTTCTTCTAAGAAATGCTAACTTAGAACACTGAGTTTTACCACCCATTGTTTATCAAGGTTCATCTGTAAAGAGGCACAGCTGATAAGGCGCCATAAGGTCTGACCACACACAATGCATCAAGGGGCTTTTATCTCCCAAGCATTGTGGACACAGAGCAATCAGAATTACTGCATATTCTGAGAACATAGGCAGAGTCTGTGGCGTTGTGTTCCAGTTATCTCGGACCTGAAAGGC